TTTGTTTCTTGTTTCTGTTTTTGCGTTTCTGTTTAGGTATGGGTTTGGTATGGTGTTTTAGGTTGTTGAAGGAAAAGGCTTGGAGGTTTTGAGGGTCTGTTCGAAGGCTTTTCGAGAGGAGTCTGTTCCTTGTCTAAGAGTTTTCGAAAAAAAGAGGGTCCGAAGGTTTTTTTTTTTTTAGAGGGGGGTCCGATAGAGAGATCAAGGGGAAGAAGTTGAGGTTTTTTAAGGAGTTCAACAGGGGAATAGGTGGTGGCTATAGGCTGGTGAGCGTGGGTAGTTAGTGGTGACTGCAAGGTGGCTGGTCCCAGGCATCAGCCGCCGTACTTTCTGTCATTTTCTGTTTCTCTCTTTTTTATTTTTTTTTATTTTTTATATAATTAATAATTATTTTTTAAAAATATATATTTATTATTGTTATTATTATTATTATTAATAGTAGACCTGGACAAAACCGATGTCTACATAAATAAACATATTAGTTTTTTAGAGCTTAATTAAAAGTTTAACTTCCGTTTAGCAATCTAAAAATTCATATGGTGCAAATAAAATTCAAGAGTTATTAATTAACTAATCATAATACTTAATAGCATATAATCACTATATGCAAAATATTTCCTTGAAAGTTTTGGAGTGAACCCATTTTGATTCTTCAAAAAAAAAAAAAAGCTAATTTTGAGCTATATTAAAGCATTAATAGTCCTGAATGCATCAAAAAGATTTAAAGAAATGTGTTCTTAAAATAGTTTTTAAAAAAATCTACTTAAGTTTGGATGAATTCTAATATTTATCCTATTTTGCTTTGAATTCAATATAGAATAATGAGTGGCTAAAGTTGGAATCGTCCATATTAGCTGACAAAGATGGTCAAAAACCATCGAAACTTAAATATATGTCTATCTAATTAAAGAATTGGCTTCTTCATATTTTTGATTGGACAAAGTTACCGGCACACTCACGTCTCTGGCTGAATCTTTCAAACAATTGGTTGCCCGTAATCTAATCAAATCTAATGAATAATTCCATTTAAGATTCTTTTTTTTAGAAAATAAGAACTTTATTTTTGTCGTTAAACCAGAACCTTATGGACATAAAATAAATGTTTTAACTGATCGCAATGTTGAAAATTTTTTCTATAATTTAAGTATGGCTTTATAGTTGTATGGCATTAAGTGTAACATTAAGGAAAAAGTTTAATCTTTGGTGGTACTTTAATCATGCCACAACATAATGCATGCATCCATCTTCTTCTTAAAACTTGCTTTGGTGGGCGCAGCCATTTCTTTTCTTTGCTTTTCTTTTGTTAAAGCACTTAATTACTCAATCAACACCATGACTGATTAATATTTATATGGATAAAATACTATATATTTGCAAATGAAAGTGCTAAGCTTATGATTATACAAATATAATCTTAATTTAATTATATGATCTTTCCCCCTTCTTTACTCCCAACTGAAACTTGGCCACTATTCCTTATCAGAATCAAGTAAAGGCATATTTGATAGGATCTAAGCAACATTGCTTCCAACTTTGATGAATTGATGCATGCCTTTTGCTTTTCTAGTTTGGAATTAGAGAAGTATTACTTAGTTAAACAAATGAAAGTAATTAATGCAAGTAGAAAAGGAAAAAATGCGGATAAGGAGGAATTATTGATGACCATTTTTGAGGTTTTCCTTTGAGTTATAACCTGCAAAAGGATTAGGAGCACATACAAATGTGTGATGGCTTTGGTTGAGTACCACGGTTGATGATGGACCATGACGGACAAAGCCAAAACAATGAAAAAAGGGAAGTGGGGGACTTGACCCTTTTCCATTCAACTAGCAAAAATTAGTGGATTTTGAGCTAACCAACAGCTTCGTTTTGTTCTAATAAAGTATACAAAAAATTGAAAAAGCATCAATGATTTGCCCTTCAATGCTCAGTTGAAAACACAAAAGAAAACAAAAATCTCTCAGGAATTTTTGTTATGAAAAGAAAAAAGGTTTCAATGTTCATCATCATCGTCAATGGCTTGAGCCCTTAGCCCTCCAATAATACGGGCTTTTGTCAATGTGGTGGAGCCCCATGTCCCCTGTCCTCTGGCGTGCGGTTAGGTTAGGGGTCATTGTCTTTTTAAGAGTCTTGGTAGCTTAATTAGGCTAACCAGTTTTTTCAGATTAAGCTGTGTTTGACATAAAATCCAAAATTTCACACTCAAACAAGTCATAATAATTCAGATAAGAATCAACTTCTGGATAGAATAATGGTTCATGTTTTCCTTAGCAAAACCAGCTTCTATCTATTCACTCTTACATTGATTTCCACCTTTATAATTTTATTTTCATTTTGGCAAAAATTGATTTGATACACTAGCTATAATAATTCTATTTGTTTAGAGTCCTATGTCATAGCAGAAATTGAGTTTCTTTGACCTACACAACAGCAACTGTGGATCAAACTTATCCTATATGTCAATATCATCCCCCAATCCAATCCTAAGAAACTAGAAAAAAGTAACCACAAATGATATTTTCTTTCCCTTTTCCTTAATCTTTTGAGCTTTCTTGCCAACCAAACAAAGAAAACAGAATTTATAACAAATCAAGCAAAGCACCAAATAGTTCCTAACTAAGTAGCAATAATTGTTCAAACTTGGCTTATTGGATGGTAAGTCTGGTCTTGGGGATGTGAACAGAAGGAAAGATTTTTCAGTTCCCATTCACGGCAATGTCAAATTGTCATGGGGGAATGTACGGCCTATGTCTATCTGTTATGGTGGTTCTTTCTTGTCTGCTTGTGGCCGATGGGTATTTTATTTTGTATTTATTTGGGCACTTTGTTTTCAAAATTTTCTCCCTGGTTTGATAATGACCAATAACTGTTGAGCTGCAATTATTTAATTTGTTTCATCAATTTTTGAATTTCTTATTCAATGGTGTTGTTGGGACCCTGCTTGGACTTGGTCTTTAAGTTGTAAGATGGTGGAGAAATCTGAGGTTGAGGGACCCTAATTGACTACACTAGGCAACACCTACTGGCTACCATCAATCAAGTTGCCAAGAAAATTAAGAACGCAAAAGGGAATTGGGATTTGAAATCTTGCATTTTGTCCCGCAACCAACTAAAGTCAGGCAAGAGATTCCAGATAACTTAATAGCGTTCTTCGTGTTTCTTCCAAGGTTTAAAACGAGAATGTAAATGTTATTGACGGTGACAAATATGACATTCCAACATTTTATATAATGATAAATGCATATATATATTTGTGTTTAAAAATTTTAAATTTAATTTAATTGATTATATAATTATTTTTAAAATATAAATTTTAATATCAATTTTTTTCAGATGATATAATATGTAATCTTAATTTTTCATCTCTTTTTCCTATAGATTGCTCCTGTCCAAAATTTACATCCAACTTGGTCTCATTCTGACAAAATTTTTAACAAGAAATATAATTATTGAAGAAATTTACTCAAATTAAGACTAAATCTTATCCCAAATCACCCAAAACAGAAGTTTAAAAAGAATAAACAAAATCGAAAAGCAGTCGATAATACAAATAGCTGTCATCCCAACAGTCTAAATGGCTACAACCTAGCTCTAATTAATTTTCCTTTGTTTTCTTAAAGGGTAAAAGAAAAGCACAGCTAATGACAAAACTTATAATTCACCTAACACTTAGATTGAGGAGGTAATTGGCTAGGAATTGTTGTCGCCTAGGTTGATTCTTCAAGTTGATTGGATCGTCATTGAATAACGACAACAAGTTCAAAGGAACACCAACAGTTTGATGATATTGGTAAGTCAATAACAGTGAAATAGGAGCTTAATGCAAATTGGAATAAAGAAAATGGTATATTAGAATATTATTGTAAAAATGATTGCAAAGATTACGAGTCTTTGGGCAGGTCATTTCCCACTACAATCCCACATTTGAAAACTAATTATTACATGAAAATATACCAACAATTTGATAATTAATGTGACTTTTAAGTGAAACCCAAGGTTTAAACTAATTATTTCATAAAATTAATTTTAAAATATAACATTTAATAAATTTGAGATTTAAAATTTAGTAGATGTATTTTTTTTATTTTTAAATTATAATATATTTTGTAAGAAAATGTGATATTAAGTGGGATTTTGTGATCTTTGTAATTCCAAGTCTCCATGCCTTTGGTTGTCTGCTTGCCGATTACATTAAGCCAAACAAAAAGTTGGAAGGTTATATGATTAAATTTCTTTAATGTAGAAATAGTAGACTTTCTCTAATCTCATAAAAGTTAGCTTCTCATCCTTAAAATGTAAGTTTAAGACTATCAAATGGAGCGAAAATCACAAAACTTTAATGTTGAAATATTTCTTTTGAAAACTATATATTATTTTGTAATTGAAAACTAAATTTTTAATTACTCCACCTTTCACCAAGTGTAGTCGTACCATATGCCAAAATTGATATATATATATATTTTTTTATTACTTAAAAGTTATCAAAATTTAAACTCAAATAACTGAAATAAGAATTTATCACTTTACTAATAGATTTTGTAGTCATTGATGCTAAAATTGAAAATTTCAAACACATTTTCTAAAATTGATAAACCAAACTTTGATTAGAATGTTGATATGTAACTAATACTAGTAGAATACATGGAGAGTCCTCAATATCGGTATATATAATCTTCCTAACCATTGCCTATTGATATATTTTATGGTAATGATCTTGTAATTTTACAATGCTTAAAAAATGAAGAAAATTAGCTCCAATTATGCAAGAAAAAAAATGTTAATTCCCAGCAGATGCAAGCACTGAGGTTGTGAAGATTTGCCCTTGAAAGCATTCATTTTTCATTTAGGCCTCACATGGCATATATTTGGGTTTAATCACATGGACTGGCCCATTTTGATGGAACCCAAACAAAAAAAATCCAATTGGAACCATAACCATTTTTCCATGGAAATCTGGTTAGATTTCTCCTAGGTCCATTTGGCCCAGCAATTAATTGTAAATAACACGTGTCTTCAAACAACAACCTCCCGACAGAAGGCAATCAGCTGGATATGGCGGCGCCGCTATCCACACGCTTATATCTTCTGTCGACCATATCGAAACTATCGAACACTCCCCAACAACATTGTCACAATCGCCACTTCCATCAGCTGTCTCTCGTTGCTATCGTAACCAATGGATGAACAACGACAACCAGAACCAAAAAAGCGCGTGGTGGTCTGCGGCGGAGGCGTAATCGGTGTTTGCACTGCTTATTTCCTCGCCAAAAAAGGCGCCGCCGTCATTCTCGTTGAACAAACCTCTATAGCCTGTGCCGCATCCGGAAAAGCAGGCGGATTTCTCGCTCTAGACTGGTGCGACGGTGGCCCTGTCGCGTCACTCGCACGCGCTAGCTATAATCTCCACCGTTCACTCTCCGAAGAACTCAACGGCCCCGAATCGTACGGCTATCGTCCCCTCAACACTCTCACTCTTACAATAACCGAATCACAGTCTTCTTCTCCTTCCAGATCCAGGTTGTTGGGTGACTGCACAATCCCAGCTTGGGTTGATGGACCGGCACATCAGCCTAGAACAATTGGGTCGACCCAAACGACAGCCCAAGTACATCCTCAATTATTCACAAGAACACTGTTAAATGCGGCTGTCGAGAAATATGGTGTCGAGGTGGTGATTGGGAAATTGCAGTATGTGCGTGTTGAGGAGGGGAGAGTTGGATCGGTGGTACTTGAAGGGAGACGAGTTATTGAGTGTGACTCGGTTGTTTTGGCACTTGGGCCATGGAGTGGAAAGTTCGAGATGTTAGCTTCACTGTTCAGAGTTTACGGGATTAAGGTGCATAGTATTGTTTTGGAGCCCAAAGAGCCTGGTGCTATAACGCCCCATGCCCTTTTTCTCAGCTATCATCCGCAGGGTGGTAAAGCCATCGACCCTGATGTGTTCCCTCGTCCAACTGGTACCTTCGACTGTAAATTTCTGATTTTGAACTCTTGTTGGTAATTTAGAACGTGCATCCCCCGTATGGGATAGAAAGTAATTATTGGTAAATATATTTAATTTTATATTAATTTTATTTATATTTTGAATAATTATATTTTAACAAAAATAATAAATAATTATTTTATTACAAATAATTATATTCATTTGAATATAGATAAATGATTGTTATATAAATCATAATTATATAAATGATTATAATCATTTAAATAAAAATTTATATATATTAATTTATTATAAATAAATCTTCAATATGGTTATATTTACTATTTAATAAATTTAAAATTTTATTATATCATAAAAGTATAATTATTTTTAAAAAAATATTTTTCATGCCTTGAAACAAAAGTTTTTTTTTTTTTTATTCCCTTAATTATTTTTCAAACACTTGTAATTGAGCGTATTTTTAGTTATAAAAGTGTGAATTGGATTGTCAGGGGAGGTTTATATATGCGGGATGTATACGGAGGAAGAGGTGCCAGATGATCCAGAGCTAATAGTAGGCAACCCAGAATCAATACAGATGCTAAAGAGAGTGGCTAGAAATGTTTCGAGCCATCTGGCTGATGGAGAGGCGCAAGTGAAGGCAGAGCAAGCATGTTTCTTGCCATATACTGATGATAATGTGCCAGTGATAGGAGAACTTCCGGGCGTCAAAGGGTGTTATGTGGCCACTGGTCATAGTTATTGGGGAATACTCAACGGTCCAGCAACTGGTGTTGCTGTGGCTGAGCTTGTGCTTGATGGACGTGCTACCATTGTTGAACTTACTCGGTTTAGTCCTGCTAGATTTGTCGGGCGTAGAAAGGTTGAAGTTTAAGATGTACTTGTATAACATTTTTCCATCGAAGGACGCTTTACCAATAAGTGTTTGTTGGTAATTTAAAATACGCTGTATCTTATATTAAATAAAAAAATTTAATTATTAATGAATAAAATTAATTTTTATATTAATTTTATTAATATTTTAAATATTTATGTTTAAATAAAAATAATTATTGTATGATAAATGATCATAATTATTTGAATATAAATAAAATATTATTCATAAAAGTTATGATTATAAAAAAAAAATTATAATCGTTTAAATAGAAATTTATTTTTATTCATTTATTATAAATATTTTTTTTAATATAATTATTTTTACTATTTTTACTTGAAGAATTTTGAGATTTTGTTATATCATAAAAGCATAATTGTCTTTAAAAAAAATTTTCACACCTTAAAATAAAATTGTTTTATTATTTATATTCTTTTATTTAATTTTTCTAACAATTTAAAGATAATTATGAAATTCATAGTTTGCATGAAAAAGATACAAGAAAAAAAATCGACAAAGTTGACAAAATTGACTTTTAAAACAAGCATAGAAAGCTTTAAATAATTCAAACAGTTTCTTAGTGAAATAAATTATAAGGTAAGTTTCTTTTTATTATCTTTCTAATTTTTATCTTTTACCAAAAGAATTAATGATTAATAATTCATAAGAGATCTTGAGTCTTATGAAATTTTATTATTTTTTTAAATTTTTTATTCTGATTTAAATTATTTAATTTATGATTCATGATTTTATAGTATGTTATATGTGGATTTTCTTGATCATAATATTACATGATCATGAGCATAAAATAGAGGTGGAGTACTTGCTAACTTTGGTTATGAATCTTTTATTACCTTTTTATATTTTGTCAATCATTAAACTTTATTGTATTTTTTAGGTTTATTGCTAATAACTTTTTTGTATATCAATTAATCAAGTAGTGGGGGCAAATAAAACTTTAAGGAAAGTGACATTGTTACACGCCTTAAAGCTTTTCTTCAATATCTCATGATTTTTCTAGACCCCAATTTCTAACAATCTTAATGTTTTATTTTCACAAGTTTATGAGAACTTTTGATTAAAGGTTGTTGATAAAAGCAAAGGACATAATTATGGTTTATCAACGGAATTTAATCAAAATGAGAGACGTGGCTTGAATATAGCATTTAGATGTGGCATGGAAATGAATTTTTTATCAACTTAAGCCTCTTGTTATTCATCTTTTTTTACAAGCCAAGGAATGAAAAGTTTACTGCTAAATAAACCAGGTATGTAATTTATGATTCTATATCACTGGGAAAAGAAATTAGAAATAAAAAAAGGGGAAAAAGTCTCAAAGATTAACACAAAACAATAATTTTATACTTACGATTGGACAATACAGTGGTTTATAAAATTGAGTTGTGTGAATCACAAAGAAAAAGTTTAAGGTATAACTTCATTTGTATTTGATAGCCAAAACAAATAAGACAAATAAACTCAATAATTTGGAATATAAATGTTCTTATTGTATAACTAAGATTGATGAAATTGGCTTACAAAAGATAAGAGATTAAATAGATGTTTGTTTAAAAAGAAAATATCAAACTATTGTAAATATGAGATTTATAAATGTCTGAGTTCTGAAAAATTATTCCCGTTGATAATACTATTTATAAATTGTTTGAATTTATAATGTAATAAGTTAATGCAAGTTTATTATATGCAATGAATATATAATTTCATGAAGAATTGTGACTAATGTACTGTAAAATAAATTAAGTATATATATATTTATTGTATCCCCATATTTTTTAAATTTTATGTTAGTATCTCTAACTAAAATTTGGCTAATAATTTAGGCTAATTAGATGATTGATTAAAATAAAATGCATGTCATTAAAAATATTGAAACATTTGTCGATATTAGCATTTTGAAGGATGCTCATCAATGCCTAATTAGCCATGTTTATAAATTAGAAAAGAACATGCAAACTTAATGTTTCAAAGGCACCAATTCATGCATGTGTTTAATTTCATTTTGTGATGGCATGGAGAATATTGGTATAGTTTACCATATATTACAAAAATGAAATGAATGGGATGAAATTTTCTTTCTTACACATATAAAAAAGATATGGACTATGGAGATAGAATGCCATCATCCAATTAATACATTATTGGTTAAAGATAATGAAGACATTTTTACTTCTTGTACCTGAAAAAATAGCCTTTGCCAAGTGTTAAAATGAAATGTGCACGAGTTTCTATGATTTTCAATAATTTCATGACAATGACAATGATGTAGTTGGTTATATACCATATTAGCATATGAGCTTAAATAATAATATTCGCTTGTGAAAGCTTAAAGCCTTGGAGTTTGCCAATCAATGATTTAACTAATACAAATTTATTATGAGTTTTTGCATGAAATATGAATAGAACTCATATTATAATTATTGTTTATGCTATTTTATAAAAATGATTCTTTGGATTCATGTTTTATTACTTATGTTGATATGGTGATCTAGATATGAACATATTGATCACAAAATAATTGTAAAAGTATTTGAAATTGAAGTTAAATATACTATGGACTCTTATTGTACATAGACATATTGGTCTTATGAGTAAAGTTTGAATTTATTATATATCCAAAAATGTTATGACCAATTAAAAGTGGTAAATAATATAGATACATACTTAGGCTGCACAATGATAGAGAAATAAAGTTCTCATAAAATTTTGAAATTAAGTTTAGAGGTTTCAATAGCCATGAACTTAGAATTGGCTATTGGACAATTAATATATGCATTTTAAAACTCATGAGAACTTTACTAGCAAATCTACATGATTCGTAGGTATGATAAGGATTATTATGATTGGCTTAGAATAGCCATAAGCCAAAACTGATGCCATAATCTTGATCATATTGTGGTAATATTTTGTTATGTATATAGTTTAATTCATGGATTATACAAATGACTTATCATCTATGATTTTATTAAAAGTTTTGAAATATAACAAAAATTTTGAAGTATATTTACTTTATATGCTATTAGTGATTCAAAAATCTTATGAATATGAAAACTTTTATAATAGTAAAAAGAATGTTATTTAATTTATTTGGGTGATAAAAATGATTTTGTTCATGGTAATAAAAAATTATTAATAGTATCAATTATGAAATAGATTCATATAAGTATTTATGAATTGACATAAAAAATCTTAAAATGAGACTATAGACCCATGATTATATTTAAAATCTGCTTATTGATGTAAATTATTGAATTAAAATATAAAAGTTTTAGAATTTTTATGAAAAATAAATATTAAGATATAGAATATTTGCTAGTTATCTTTCACTAATAATGGATTTAAATACCTCCTACTTTAAAAAAAAAAAAAACTATAAAATAGTGAAAAGATAAATAAAATAACAATTTGATTAAATATATATGATATCTTGATAATTAAATGGGATATTCTTTAATAAAAGAATGCATATTTGCACATGGTGGGGATGATAAGAATAAAAAAAATAAAAATACTATCATAGTATTGTAAGATTTTAGTATAATTTTATGCGTAAATGATACGAACTAATAAGTTTAGTACACTTATTAAAGTAAAATCATAAAAAGCTCTTTAAAAAAATCTAAAGTAATAAAGATATAATGGAAACTTTACCTATATAAACATAAAAGTGGTGTCGCTTCAATAAGAAGAATTGGGATATCTTTTGTAAATGTTTATAAATAGGATAAGCATATGATCATAATATTGCTAAAGCGGTTACAAATCTCTTATAGAAAAATAAATAAGTATTATGAGTGTTATATTTTCAATTATAACATTAAGAGTTGTGATTTAATTTACAAACACAATCAATTTCGTTATAATTCTAAGATATATTCGATAATTGAAGGTTTAAATCGAAATATACATTTTTACATTTATAATATTTATTTGTGTGGAAGGTTAAAGATTAAGCACCAACATTCCAAACTAGTGGGAGATTGTTGGTAGTTTAAAATGTGGTGCATTCCACATTGAATAGAAATATTTAATTATTGATGAATAAAATTAAATTTTATATTAATTTTATTCATATTTTAAATAATTGTGTTTAAATAAAAATAATTATCATATGATAAATGATCATAATTATTTGAATATAAATAGATTATTATTCTAAAAGTAATGATTATATAAAATGTTATAACCATTTGAATAAAAAATTATATCTATTCATTAATTATAAATAAATATTTTAATATAACCATTTTTATTACTTTTATTTGGAGAGTTTTGAGATTTTGTTATATTTTAAAGGAATAATTACTTTTAAAAAAGTATTTTTTACTCTTTAAAAAATAAATTTTTTAATTATTTTTTTTAACAATATTTTGTAAGTAAGATGAGTATCGGGAAATTTCACCTCTAACTACTTGATGCTTGACACAATGATACTGGAAACAGCCTCGTTTGCTCCAACTACTTCGAAATAAATATATACTGATGTACAAATTTGTTCGTGATAGAATCACTCGCAAGTAATCGATTTTGTTTTCTAAATTTATTCCAATAAGTTAGTTTTTTCTTTTTCTTTTTTTTTTGAAAATAAAGGCCAAGAAAAACGCTACTTTGCTCAGGCAGCAGCCTCACTAACAGCCTTACAAAAAGCAAAAGGCAATGATAGAAGTAAACTTTAATTGTCTTAACATAAGATGGTATTGTTGAAGAAAACTGGAAGCCATAATCCTCGTCCAAGCATTAATGATCATTGGGAGAGGAGAGACTGAGATTTGCAGTTTTCTGTTCTTGTAAGGGTTCAAGGGCCGATGGGTCACCCTTTCATCGACATTCGACCACCAATTAATTTGCATGGTTATAGGTGATTTGCCTAGTTCAAGGCCCAAGAAGCAAAGGTTAGGCGCAAGGAAGAACAAATTGGGTAATGGACCCGCTTTCATCCACCTATTTCCATGGTTAAATTGGTTTTTTAGATTGACCTGGAAAAAGAGGCCCATTTCTAAGGAATGAAAAACCATCAACACGGTCTAGGAATTCAGGGGCATGTGTGGAACCACGTGCCCACACGAAGATCAAGGCAACACT